CACCAGAGCCCAGGAGCTGTGAGTGGGAGCTGCTGAGGCACTGGGGTGGGGCCTGGAGCCTTGGGACCCTAGAAAGGAGCCGGGCAGGGCAAGAACAAGCTGCTGGCTTGAAGAGCAGGCTGCCTGGGGGTGGTGTCTCCCTGGTAACTGGAGCTGCCAGCCTGTGGAGTCAGTCTGGGTTTTACCACACCCTCCAGTGTATTATACAAGGACCGTCACGCCTCTCCTGTGTTGACTTTTTAAATCAAAGGGGATCTGATGCTGGGTCCCATCCCACCAGCCTGGCAGAGACACTTTCCCATCCTTCTTTCCCTTGGACCAGGGTCAGGCACAGAGGAAGCTGTGGGAAGCCCTCCACCGTTGTTCCCCACGGGTCCACTGATACAGCCGTTTCCAGGCCCTCATGGACTGGGAGGGTAGGTGATCCTGTTGCTTTCACATCAGATCTAGGGACAAGCAGGGAAACCTATGGAGGCTTGCAGCTACACCATGGAAGCCTGCCCTGGAAGACCCTCTCCCCTGCTGGCCTTGGAAATTTCTCAACACCCTCTTCTTATGCCCCCAGCCCTCTTTCTTCCCGCCCAGGAAGGCCTGGCAAAATCCATCCAGGAAACCAAGGGTGGAAGTTGTCTTCCTGTATCTTCTGCTTTCAGGAAATGCCTGGCTACCTTCAGAATGAGATGAAGGTCTGTGACCCTTTGCTGGGCTAGGAGGAGATGCAGGCAGGTTGCAAGGAGCAGGCACCCGAGTAGAGTGGAGAGTTTTTAAAAGAAGGACTCCTGGTATTTTCCCCTTATAGTCTCCTGAATTTCCAACTGTAAAGATCTCCTGGAAGGGGCCTGGGCTGATCTATCTTCTCCTAAATGCTTGGTGGAGTTTAACGAGGCACTGTATTTATCAGGTGTGAAATGGGGAACAGGTTCATAGGGAAAGGTGAAAAATAACAAAAAGTACTACTGAAAATACCTTCTGGGGCTGAGCCAAGGTCTGGGTCCATCTGCTTGTCTTGTGGTCTAGGTGTGCGCTGGGGGCCACTCTGAAGGGGACTGAGTCCTTCAACGACTTCTAGGCCGAGTCCCTGGTGCTGTGTGTGTCTCTGTGTGTGTCTCTGTGTGTGTGTGCGCGCCTGTGTGTGTGTGCAAGCCTTGTGTGTGTGCTTGGGTGGCTGGGGGCTGAGGGACCAGAGGGAGTGGCTGTGTGCCCACCCACCTTGAAGCCATGCTGCTAATGAATGAGGCATTACAATGCCAGTCCCCAGGGCCCCAATTCCACTCACATCTCCATTAATACACTCCCGGTGTTCACTGTGATTGGCATCGCCACAATAAACAGTAAATGAGTGAATAATAATTGGCTATCTATTTGAAAGTGTTACTGAGGTTGCCATGGCAATCACACCTTTTATTAAGCTTTATTAAGCTGCAGCTGCAGGGAGTGAGGTGGTGGGAGTCCAGGCTCCCTGGGCCCCGCAGAGGGGCTGACCTGCTGGGCGACCTTTCCCAGGAGCTCTGGAGGCACAGGGGCCAGAGAGGGGTGTTTGTTTTTTTGTTTTAACAATTCACCTGCTCTGGGGGCTTTAGGAGGAGTCATTGAATCCTCAACTAGAAAAGACAAGGTTTCTTTCCTGCCTCTGTTCTTTCCCCAAATACTTCAGTAGTGGGAATGGGGGACAATGCTGTTTTATTTTTACTCTTAGCATTCCCCTCCCCACCCAAACAATGGTAAAAATGAAAATTAGTAATACTTTAGAAATTAAAATTCATTTAAGGGGCAAAAATTATGTTCATTTTGTTTTAGAATGATGACTATAATATTTCAGATAAGGTGCTATTATTCTTTGTTATTCCTCTGCCTCCCCACCTTCTACCAATGAATTCTAAATCTTGATGCAAGGAAAAGATTTTAATGTGAAACTACCTGGACTATCAGATCATTATAATTCTTGTCCACCAGGAACAAGCAGTGTAGTATCATTCTCACAGGCAAGAGTAAAAGAAACATTTCTGCATCCAGGGGCAATACCATTACACACAGACACACAGAGGAGATTCAGGAATTTCTTTCTCTGCTTGTGGGTCTGCTCTTGCTTTATTTTGATCTCAGTGTCAGTGGATGTGTTCCTGGGCATTGAGGATTGAAAGTGAAGGACCATGGAGAGAGATAGAACATCCCTTCATTTCTGTGGATTTTAAAACAAGTAGCTTACTGTCACACCTGCTCAGAACTGTCTGCCTTCTGCAGCCCGAGAAGAGTCAGGCTTAGAAATGTTCACAATCAAGTCAAGAGAAACATTAACTTATAATATTTTTTACCTCTCAAAGGTATGTGTTATATTGTTTGTTGTTCATTTCAAAATACTTTGGTGCTGTATAGAGTATGAGCAGAGTTGTTAAATTTAGCAAATAAAAATATGGAACACAGAGTTCAATGTGAATTTCAGATAAATACCAAATAATTTCTTAGTGGAAGTATGTCCCAAATATTATGTATATTTCATCTGGCAAAGCCTGACTGTGAGATATGCTTTTGATCCAAATTCTAGGGGCCAGTTAGTTAACATGGAAAGAATTCTAATCAGGAATACAGACTTCAGGGCTGGTTAGTTAACATTTGAAAGACTCCAAGCAGAAACCACACTCTCTGGGCAGCTACTCCAAGACTTTCAGTTATTTTTATCTCCTATCAACACTAGAGGCCTTGCTCATTAGCATAATGGATGTTAGAAATGGTTCTCTTTGGTGAAACAAGTAGGCTTTGACGTGTGCAAACTATCAGACAGGAGCTCTCCCCACCCTGTGCGGGAAAGGTCTATCAGTTTACCAAGGCCAGTGGTAACGTGTGCTCTTTGGAATGGTGTGCTAAGATTTAAAACAAGCTCTGCTTGTAACCACTTACAGGATTTGAAAGCCTAATTCCTAACCCATCACTAGAGTTTGGCCACACATTCATCCAGTGTGCTGTCACAAGGCCTCACAGGTCAGAAGATGGACTTCACTGAATTTGTTGGATAGGCTCTTTGAGGCCAGCTTGCTAATAAATCTGTCTGCATGGGAGAAGCCAGCCTGAAACTTTTTTTGTTGTGACATACTATCTGCAAATGAGAGCACGGCCCTCAACTATCTACCAAAAGAACCAAATTGGTTTAGGTTGGTTTGAATTGGAAGAGAATCTTACAGTAACCAAGGCAAAACTTTCTTTCTCAAGAAGTGAGTGAATGGGAAGGAAGTTGAGGGGTGGTTTGGAGGCAGCAGAATGTGCTGAAAAGACTAGTTGAGCAAATAAAATGAATTCCTTGGAGGCAAAATTCATGTTCAGGACATATTCTTTTAAGTTACTACTTTAGTGGTTTCAAAATGTTCAGTGGCATTAAGCACATTCATAATGTTATGCCAACCATCACCAATGTCCATCTGCAGAACTTTTTCATTGTCCCAAACTGAAACCTTGCACCCATTAAAGAATTTCCTACTCCTTCCACCCCACCAGCACCTGCAACCACCATCTTCTACTTTCAGTTTCTATGAATCTGTCTATTCTACATAGCTCATATAATTGGAAACCTGTAATATTTGTCCTTTCCTGCTGACTTATCTCACCGAATATGATGCTTTCAGGTTTCATCCATGTTATAGCAAGTATTAGAATTTTAAGGCTGAACGATATCCCATTGTATGTACAGACCACATTTTGTCAATCCAGTCGTCCACTGAGGACATTTTATCAGGAACCTTTTCTAAGGGTGAGTGAGCCAGGGCTTTGGGGTTAGGAGACAGATCTAAGCTCTGCCATTCCTGTGTGACCTTGGGCAAGTCACTAAGCTTTTCTGAGTTCCATTTTCCTTATCTTTAGATGCATAACTTTTTCTTTTCCTGCTTAGACTTCTGATGTGAGAATCAAATAAGGTATTGTATGTAAAGGAGCTTTATAAACTAAAGCACTGTGTCATGTATTATTTGGCTTGTTGTCTTTCTGGGCACTAGAGAATGCCAGAAAACAAACCCTTTTTCTCATTTTAATCTAATGCTAGTGATTTCTTCTGTTCTCCAGCTTTTGCCTATTTCTGAAACACCATTGAATACAAATATCTTGAGGCTTAGTATCTTGTAGCTCAACTTATTACAAAACTTTGAAATATTTAAAGATAAATTCAATTAGTAAAAGTGTAATTACTGCCTGAACAAACTATACTTTAAATTTTAATATGCCAAAGAGGATCATTTATGAGCAGAACAAGCTTTATGTTATACATTTTTAATGCTCCTAAACTAACACAGTGACATGCAATCTATAAAAGAGACCAAAAAAAATTTTCTCATTCATTTTCACATTCCCCCCAAATCTCTACCCTGCCCTCAGCCAGAGCAAACAAACCCATTTTATTCAATAGCCTCAACAGTTCCAGACATTTTGCATGTTTAACTACTTCAATTTTTTTTTTTCTGGGGTAACTAGTCCAACTTGGTTAACTAGAAGAAAGGAGCTAGGAGGGGTGAGACCTCCAAGTTTGAATAAGAAAAGAGAAAATGACATTTACAAAGAAGTGGCATTTTAAAAAACGATTGATTTACTTATTTTTGGCTGTGCTGGGTCTTCGTTGCTGTGTGCTTTGTTGCTGTGCTTTTCTCTGGTTGTGGTGAGTGGGGGGCTTTTCTCTAGCTGTGGTGAGCGGGGAGCTACTCTCTAGCTGCGGTGCCCACAGGCCTCTAATTGCAGTGGCTCCTCTTGTCGTGGATCCTGGGCTGTAGATCACAGGCTCAGTAGTTGTGGGGCACTAGCTTGGTTGTCTCGTGGCATGTGGGATCTTTCCAGATCAGGGATCAAAGCCGTGTCTCCTGCACGGGCAGGTGGATTCTTTACCACTGAGGCCTCCGGAGAAACTGCACTGTGATGTCAAGTTGCTAGGCTGCAGTGGGACAGTTGAATTTGTCTCCGCCGGCAGGTGGGGCCCCACTGGGCCTCTCCCAGCCTTGGTCCTGGACAGGGATTCCCGGAAGCCTCCACCCAAGAGCGCAGGGACTCAGCTCTGTGGGATGGAGCAGGTGGAGTGGGTGGAAGCAAGTAGGGTGGAGTCTACTGTGGTCTCCAAAGATGGATGCCAAGAAAATCTGCAGCAGGCTCTGTCTCCTGGCCAATACCCAGGCCTCGGGCACTTGCTGACTGCCTTGAATTTGGGCCAGAAGGAGAGGGAAAGGAAAAAAGAAGCAAGAAAAGATGAAGTGCATGTTCTCAAAGCCTCGGCCTCGCCCATCCACACTGTCTAATTATCAGCTGGGCCTCCTGCTCACAAGAGATGTGTGAGCCTCAAGTTGGCCAAGTTCTCTCACCTGCAGCTTCCCAAACACTTGGAAGGCCAGTAATTGCCCAGTAATTACCCCGTTTATTGCCTCATTACGGGTGACCACTTCTTGGCAGGCATTTCCCTGGGAAGGTCTCCTCCCAGCTCAGGCTTCTCAGCGCCGGCAAGGGAGCAGGCAGGCCTGCTAGGTTCTGGTGTGCAGACTTGCTGAATTGCACCCCCATAGTCACCCTCACGCCACCGCAGCTTGCCCTGCTCCTGGCCCCGCACCAAGCCCTCTGCCTCCGCTTTCACTAATGATTACCTAGGTTGGGTAGGACGTACGAGGACCACTTCCTACCCTTTAACAGTAGCCCATCTCCTGATTCCTGACTCCATCACAATGGCCATGGCTCCACCAGGAGTCTCCTTAGCATCTGATCCTAAACCTCTCCTGATTCAAAGGCTTGGATCAAAGGGCCCATCTGGGGTCCTTTAGGTTCTAAACACCTTGACACCTCCTGGTTCTGACAGCTTCTCTATCTTACCCTGGATTCTGGAGCAGCCACTCTGAATACATCTCCTACTCCAGTGAGTGGTGCTGGTTGGTGATGGTGCTGGTTGGGGAGTGGGCAGGGAGGATGCGGGAACTGGTTTTGCCAATGCTTGTATCCTCCAAGTATGGTACATGTAAAATGAACTTGGAGCTGGAGAAAACAACTTGGCATGCTTCTTTTAAAAAAAGAATACAAATGAGCAGTTTTGGGGTGTGTGGGGTGGGTATTGGCTTGGATTCATGGCCAATAGCTCTAGAGGGACCTAGATCTTGTCCAGCTCCTTATTTTACAAAGGAAAGAATGAGCCCTGGAACAAAGTGGCGGCACACCCACAGCCGATCATCACCAGAATCCCAGTCCTTTCGCTCCCAGGCCAGAATCTTACCTTCTGTGTGCAGGCATCTTATCTGGCACATTCCACCCTATTGTCTTTTGATACTGTTTCTGCCCCACCTGCCATAACAAGCCTCAGCTGCCTCATCCTGAGATCATCTTGTCTGTTTAACTGTGGCTTTTGAAGAATCCTGGATCCTTCTTTGACTATCAGCTTGGACCTCACATCATGGCTGAAGTAGGGTTTGGGGGGAGATGCTCCCATAATACCCTCACCTTCAGCTTTTCTGTCTGTTGAGTCCAGGGTACCAAAGGTTCCCATCCTGTCACAGATCCCCTGGACTGGTGGGACATCCTATAGGGCCTCCTGTCCCTTCACCTCCCAGAGAATATCACTGGCGCCAGGACTGCTCCTAACAGCAGAATCAAGGCCTGAAGGGGGCCAGGGAAGAGGTACTGTGCCTGTTTGCACATGCCCTGTTCTCAAGTGCAGGCTGGGACCAGGGGCCTGATCTTACTGTCTGCAGCTTCATCTCTGCAGAAGCCCTTGTTGCTAAGTTACCACAGTCCCTTCCATGCAGCCATTCAAGCTGAGGAAGGGGAGAGGCACAGAAGGGCTCAGGGCCCTATGTGAGTAGGAGGAGGACTCTATCTCATCCATCCATCCATCCAACAAATACTCAGTGAACACTTCCTGCATGCCAGGCTCCAGGCCAGGTAGTGAGGAATCAGGAGTGAGTCTCCAGTCTCAGCTGGCAGCTGCCTCCGTTCTTTGTAAATTAAGCTGCAGCACCCCAGCTCCCCAAGGAAACATCAGCATGGAACACTTCACATTCACTGCTGTGAGCCAGCCAGTATTCTAAGATCTTAACACACATCTGCTCCTTTGATCCTTGTGACTATCCCATGATGTGGTGATCCCGTGATTATCCCCATTTTACTGAAGAAACCGAGGCACAGAAACAGTACCAACAATTTACTAACAACTAGTGAATGGCAGAGCCGTGACTAAATCCATATATTGATTTAATATATGCCTTAGTATATCCGGTTCCCAAATATGTCCTTTTTTTTTTTTTTTGGCTTGTTAAATTTTATGTCCTTTTAACCAAAAAATTCTACTGTTGAGATTTGTCTTTATCCAGAGCAATGGGAATGCAGTAGAGGGTTTTAAGCAAGATGTTGACATAATCAGAAGGTTTTTCAAAAATCAGGCTGACTCTTGCTGGAAAGGGAATTGGATCAGGGCAACAGTGGATAAGGATCAATCTGTGGGGAGGCTTTGGCAGGAATCCCCCTGAGAAATGATGGGGGATTAAACCATAGTGAAGGGAGTGATGTTGTGAAGAATAGGACCAATTTAAAAAATCGTGTAAATGTTTATGGACTTGGTTTAAATTTCTTATTTTGTAGAGCCTGTTTTCAGTTGGGCTTTTTTCTTTCCCCTTGATACTCTGGGTAAAATCTTTAATTTTACGGTGACCTTTGGTTTTGGAAAAAACAACTCCAATCGAGTTTAAAATTCAAATCCCAAATCAGAGTCAAACTTCATCTGTTCCACTTCCCTCAGTCCTAACCAGGCTTTGGAATTGGAGCAGAAATGATATATGGCCTCGTCTTTCATGCTCTCCCCGCTTCAATACCTCCTTTGGAGTGGAGGAAGTGAGCTTGGCCTGGCGAGGGGTAGACACTTCCTCCTCCTCTCTCTTCTGCACCTGTTCTATCAGGGTTAAGACTGGGGAGGAGATGGAGCCTCGAGAGACCAAAAGATACCTTTCTGAGAATAGTCCTTGACCCACAAGAAGCACTTTATAAATATGTGCAGAATGAGTGAATGAATTAAAAATGAATGAATGAATGAATGAATTTATAATCCTGTTGGTAATGCAGTGATATCTGCTCTAAAATAGAAGCTCATGAAGGGCAGGTCCTGTGTGTGTGTGTGTGCGCGTGCGTGCGTGCACGTGTGCACTCATGCTCTGAGAGAGACCGACAGACAGACAGACACATACTTTTATTTGTGCTTTGTAGGGTAAGGGATACACCTGCCAATATAGGAGACACAAGAGACCTGGGTTCTATTCCTGGTTTGGGAAGATCCCTAGAGAAGGAAATGACAACCCACTCCAGTATTCCTGCCTAGAGAATTCTGTGGACGGAGGAACCTGAAAGGCTACAGTCCCTGGGGTCCCAAAGAGTGGGACATCACTGAGTGACTGAGTAAACACCCAAACCACCCTCCCCCCAGCACACACACGTCTAACGCAATGCTGGACCCTGGGGGTAAGTTTGGGCAGTGATGATTCTGGCATTCAGTGATCCAAGATCCAACCTATCTCTCCAAATTCAACTCCCCTGCACAATTTTTCTGCCTCAGTAAAACTCACTGTGTGCTCAGCTGATCAGTTGTACCTGACTCGTGACTCCATGGAGTGGAGCCCTCCGGACTCCACTCTCCATAGGATTTTACAGACAAGAATGCTGGAGCCGGTTGCCATTGCCTCCTCCAGGGGATCTTCCCAACCCAGGGACTAAACCTGAGTCTCTTGCATCTCCTGCATTAGCCGACAGGTTTACCCTTGAGCCACCTGGGAAGCCTCAGTAAAACACATTGCTTCCTGGTATATTTGGTATCATTTTTTAATGTTGCCTGCATGTGGGGGCTGAAATGAGGCATCTCCCAAGCATCTGTAGATAAGGGACCTAGGATTGTCTGCTGAGGATTAAACTTTAAGATCTGTATAGAGCAGAGATATGCAAAGTCACCTTCAGGAGACAGAATGGTTCCCTGGGCAGTAAGACTTGACAGTAACCTGATTGAATGTATTAACACACCTACAGGAAGCATGTGTTAATCAGAAGTGACACTGCTCAGCCTAATGCGTAAAGAAAAGACAGTCACCCAGGCAATGACCATACAAAGGGGACAGAGTTTGGGCCAAGAGCCCCATTATAGTGACTCAAGCAGGCGTCATGATCATTATATTTCAAGTATTTCCATCTCATTGGCCCGACCCTCCATGTTGGAGAAATGGGTAGGTACATCAGTTTGTCTTAGTGTGATGCCATTATATATTACATTTATCTTAACTCCCTTTTGTTTCATTATTTACATAATGCTTCATGCACGTACTATAGAGTAAGAACTCAACAAATACCAGCTGTTATTATTATTCTGATTATGAGCTGACTTTCTTCATATGGAGAGGATGTACTAGTCAAATAAACAGAACTACTCTGTCTCAAGACAATATGATTCTAATATGCTAAACTCACCTCTGAGATATGACTCTTTTCTTAGTGAGCTGAGAAATCGAGTGCTCCAGCCTGCAAGACTGACAATCAAACCCTGGATGGGAGCAACTCATAAAGGACATGGATGCCCCCTGAGCAGCCCTGTGGAGACTGCCAACTTGGAGCAAGACTAGTTGGTGCCCTATTCCTGCCCACTCCAGCTTTTTTCTTGTATCTAAAGCCTGTCCTTCTGGAAGGCTTAGCTTAGCCATGCACATTGGTAAAGCTAACAACCTGTGTTTCCTCATGTAAGTTCCATTGTACCTGCTCTCTGCACCCGGAGCATGGAGAAGGTTGGGGGAAGTGAACCACAGGAGTTGCACTTAGGAGCTTATGAGTCATGGGCTCTAGAGTTGGACTAGCTGTGTAATGTTGGGCAAGCTGCTTGAACTCTGTGCTTCAGTTTTCTTCTCTGGGAAATGGGTATAATAATCATGTCGACCTTATGGGGCATTGCAAAGCTTCAAGAGCTAATGCATGTGAAATCCTTGGTGCCACGCCTATAACATTGTAAATAAGTGCTCAATAAATGTTAGGCATTGTTATGAGTGGCTACCTGGTGCATCATTGGGAGTTACAATTTATATGGAAACACAAAAGATCATGAAGTGCCAAAGCAATCTTGAGAAAGAAAAAAAAAGAGCTTGAGGAATCAGGCTCCCTTACTTCAGATTATACTACAAAGCTATAGTAGTCAAGACAGTACGGTACAGGCACTAAAGCAGAAATAACATATCAATGGTACAGGATAGAGAGCCCAGAGATAAACCCACACACCTAAGGTCACCTAATGACAAAGGTGGCAAGAATATGCAATGGAGAAAACATATTTCAGTTCAGTTGCTCAGTCATGTCCAACTCTTTGTGACCCCATGAACCATAGCACGCCAGGCCTCCCTGTCCATCACCAACTCCTGGAATCCACCCAAACCCATGTCCATTGAGTCGGTGATGCCATCCAGCCATCTCATCCTCAGCCATCCCTTTCTCCTCCTGCCCTCAATCTTTCTCAGCATCAGGGTCTTTTCCAATGAGTCAGCTCTTCGCATCAGGTGGCCAAAGTGTTGGAGTTTCAGCTTCAACATCAGTCCTTCCAGTGAACACCCAGGACTGATCTCCTTTAGGATGGACTGGTTGGATATCCTTGCAGTATTGTTATATGTATTTGTAGGTTCCCTGATTGGCATGGGCCTTGAACATGGTTGGTTTTAGATGTATATGTAATTGTGTGGTGATGACAAGAGTCTTTTACACAGTGATAGAATGATGCAGCTAACCTGTCTGAGGTGGTTAGAGTTCAGGCACTTGTGATAGTTCCTTGATTCCCATGAACTTTGACATTGGATACTGGGAAATAGTACATGCTGTCCAGTGACATGGGTCAAAGACTTGTACACTGCTATGTCTTTGAACAAGTTGCTCTTCCCTCTGAGATGTCCACCCTTTCTCTTCCTTTAAGGTCCAATCCAGTGCTGCTTTCTTGGCTCCTTCTGACTCTCTCCCTCCATTTCACATCCCCTTACCTCTAACTGTTCCTTCCTCAAGCTTTTTGTGCATTAATCAAATGGCATGAATCATACTTATTCATTCACTCATAATATATGCACATACATATATACATAGATATTTGTATATCTTGACTCTACATATATATCTACGCCTCTCTATCTGTAGTAGTGAGCAGAGACTATGCCTTATTCATAATTTAGTCTTCAGCATCTAGCAGCTGCTCTATTGATGTTATATGCGAGGATAGAATGGCTTAAATGCCTGGTGGTACATGTGCCTTAAGCTCCTTTTCTAGTACTGGGGTTTCTCTGATCCACCTGTATTCTTGATCTAGGTCCCTGCTGTGAACAGTAGACCACTTGGGAATAAGTGTGTAGCTTTGGAGCCAAGAAAGATCACTATAACATGGACCCTTCATACAGATCCTGACCCAGACACATGGCCGCTCCTACTATTACACACACGTTCAGGCTGGTGAGCACCCACAGAGCCTGGGACAGCAGGAGCAGGGGCGATTTGGGTCCCATTGTCTTCTCCCTGGAGATTGCCTCTGGGAGAAGAAGCTTCTTGTCCTTATTTTCCAGAAACCCAAGAGGAGCCATGGGGTCTGTTTTTGTTTTTCCCTTTGGTGCTGGCTTGGAGGGAGGGGTGCATGGCCTTGATCTCCTAGACCCTCAGGACTGCAGACATTATGAGTGATCAGGGAGGAGGTGGAGGTTTGGGGACTATAGGGACAACCATGCATTCAAGAATATTAAGAAAAGGATCATTACCAATAAACAAACACAGGCACTGTTCTAAAGTAGAATTTGTGTTTCTCTCTCTCAAGGGCCCCAGGAAATCAGCAAGCAGCCCACGTAGCTGAGAACAGCCAGGCAACCCCTCCTGACCTGAGATTACTGCTAATGATAAGAGCTGGAAGCACAGCTCCATGCACGTGAGGAAGGACCGCTGGACCCCCTGAGGTTAGTGATGTGCTTCATCTTTTGGGATTTTTCCACAATAGATGTATTTTTAGCAAGAAAAGATTTAAAATCCCAGCAACTCGATACAACCTCGTTGCTTAAAGCACGCTCCTCTTCAGGAGAGAGTTGACCAAAGGAGGTAATATCACTTTGGCAGGAGTCACCCAAGAGTCCTGACCCTAGCAGGCAAGTCTCTGGGGACCCCTCCGAAAGAGGAGGAGTGTTCTGTTCTCATGGGCCCTTCAACCACTCATGTCTTTTTTTCCTTCCAGTTTTATTGAGATGTAATTGACACACAACACTGTGTAAGTTGAAGGAGGACAATGTAATGACTTGACATGCATATATTGCAAAATAATTATGCTTGACATCTATCACCTCATATAGTTACACATTTTTTCCCCTTGTGATCAGAACTTTTAGAACCTATTCTCTTAGCAACTTTCAACTATACCATAAAACAGCATTAATTATAGTCATCATGTTACGCATTACATCCCCAGTACTTACTTATAACTGGAGGTTTACAGCTTTTGAACACCTTTACCAGCTCACCTGCCCCCTCTGGCAGCCACTAATCTGATCTCTTTTTCTATGAATTTGTTTTTTTAGATTTCACATGTGAATTTATACAGTATTTGTCTTTCTCTGACTTATTTCACTTAACATGTGCTTAGTTGCTCAGTCATGTCCAACTCTTTGCGACCCCATGGACTGTAGCCTTCGGGGCTCCTTTGTCTATGGGATTTTCCAGACAAGAGAACTGGAGTGGATTGCCATTTCCTCTACCAGGGGATCTTCCTGACTCAGAGTTCAAGCCTGTGTCTCCTACGTTTCCTGCATTGTGGGTGGGTTCTTTACCCACTGAGCATCGGGGAAGGCCTTTACTTAGCATAATGCCTTCAAGATCCATCCATATCATTGCCTCTTTTCTGAACTGAGAGAGCGTAGGTCTTTGTTTCCCCAAGGGTTCCTGTGTACAATTCCAGAAGTTGTGTCTCCTGGAGAAAGTACTGTGTAGCCAGGAGGTCTGGGAAACACTGCCCCCTCTACTCCCCTTGGTTCACTCCAGCCAAACTGGCTCCTTAGTTCTTTGCTGCACATGCCAGGCACAAGCCTGCCTCAGGACCTTTGCACTTGCTGTTTCTTCTGTTTGGTGTGTCCTCTTCCAGATAGCTACATGGCCAACTCCTTCTTCATCTTCAATCTTTTACTGCAAATTACCTTTGCAGTGGGACCTTCACATGTAAAAGACACTGTGATATCCTCTTCCAAAGCTTTGTTACCTTTTCTTAGCTCTCAGCATGAACTTCAGTGAATCACGTCACTTTCTGCTCTATTTCAGGTATGATTGCTAAGTTCCATCTTGAGGGTCACCATGACAGGAAGAGGTAAATATGTAACTTTTTCTTTGGCTTTTAAAGGTTCATATTTCATTGGACCAAATAAGTCCATGGCTACATCTAACTTCAAAAGGGAGAGGAAACTGCATTGCTAACCTGAGCCTAGGAGGAGAGCTGTTAATAGATCCAATGATGACCCATGCCTGTTTAATAGTCCTTAGTGGCTTTCCATGGCTCATGGTATTAAGTTCAAATTCCTTTACAGAACTAAAAATTTCTGCATGATCTGGCTCTTATTTACCTCTCTTAGATTCATATCTCAGCTTAGAGGTCATTTCTTCCAGGAAGCCCTCCCTGATCCTTCTGATTGGTTGAAGAGCTCTTCATCCCATGTGCTTCCATAAACCTGGAACCTCTTAGCATATTACTAACTTACTTGACTGTATCTCCTACAAGAAGTTTTTCTGTTGCTCCATCAAATTCAGTCCAATTGTTCCAGTCTAGTATTTTAAAAACTGAAACTGCTAGGACACAAAAGAGCATATGATATATAGTAAGGATTAGTAAAGGTCTGCGAAGCTTGTTTTAGTACGTGGGTATGTGGATTGGTCCTGTGTACAGGTTGACGTGTAAAATGTACCTTTTAATCTGTTTTGTGGTTGTTTGAAAAGACAGTCCTACTAGGTCTGAAATCCATGTGGCCTGGGGCTAGTCAGTCTCATTTATCCTGGACCATCAGTGCCTATCACAGTGCCTTGCACAAGGGGCTTTCAAAAAATTAGCTTATGAATGAATTCTCAGTGATCTGAGCTACCGGGGAATTTAATTAGAAGCAGCCTGAATGGCTTGAGCTGCTTGTCAGGTTCATTTCCCTTGATGAGGAGATGCAGGCTGAGACATTCAATGCCAAGACTGACCCTGCTTCCTAAACCAGGTTGAATGAACCTGGGCAGCTCTCTACCATCTTAGCAGGACTCTGGGCCTGGGCTTGGAAGCTGGAAGGACCATTTCTTTTTATCAAGGCCCTCCTGGCCTTCTTAAATCCAGTATCATCCTTATGCATAGGGGTAGTAAGACATTTTTTGTTATTGTTGCTGTTTAGTCACTAAATCATGTCCGACTCTTTTTGACCCCATGGACCGTAAACTGCCGGGTTCCTCTGCCCATGGGATTTCACAGGCAAGAATACTGGAGTGAGTTGCCATTTCCTTCTCCAGGTGATCTTTCCAACCCAGGGATCAAACCCTGTCTCCTATACTGACAGGCAGATTCTTGACCACTGAGCTACCAGGGAAGCCCAAACCAATTATATTCCAGTTAAAAAAAAGATTTTTTTTTTAAAAAAGCTCTTATTCTGCCTGAAATTTGTCAAGGTCAGAAGAAAAGCAAGCTCAAATCCCATTTTACTACTTATTGATTGCATGACTCTTGGCAAGGTACCTCTCTGAACCTCAGTTTTCTTCCTCTATAAAATAGAGGCAACATTATCTTCCTTCCAGAGTTAATGTGAGGATTAAAGATAATGTTTTTTATCCGAGTCTGACAATATAGGCATTCAATAAACCATGGCTCTTTATTATCATTATTATCATCCTGACTTTCTAAAGGATTTGAAATCCCACTAGTAGTAACTCATTTCTTTGAGTTAAGGCATTGTTTATGGTAAAAATGCTCTAGTTCCCCTGAGAAGGATAAGGATCTGAAATCATCTACATCTTCAATATTGTTTTGTATCTTTAGAGTATGACTAACTACATCTTTTATAGTGTGGGGTCAGCTAAGATCTGACTTTGATAGGGGAGGAGAGGAGAAGTAGAATTAGAGATAAGAAGCCTGGGGTTAAGAGGGTGCTGGTTAGAGGATGTAGCCTATCCCTTCTCCAATGGATCTTCCCAACCAGGAATTGAACCAGGGTCTCCTGAATTGCAGACGAATTCTTTACCAATGGAGCTATCAGGGAATCCCCAGAGGATGTGGGGGTGTGTAGAATAAGATGGTTTGTCCTTCACATTTGTCACATCTGCTGTTTGGGGCTTGTGGAGTGATGCTATGTCTCTGTCTCAGGTTCCCTGTCTAATGTCCATTCTGCTTACAAGGTTGGTGACATAGTTCCAGGGATGAGTGAGACATAAAAATGTGTGCTTCTTGTTCAAAAGCTTTTTCCTGTCTCTGAGCATGTCATGGTGTTTTTATTTGCTGTATAGTGTGTGCTCACTTGGGCATGGCTTCCCCGGTGGCTCAGAGTAAAGAACCCGCCTGCCAATGCAGGAGATGCGACTTGGATCCCTGAGTTGGGAAAATCCCCTGGAGAAGGAAATGGCAACCCACTCCAGTATTCTTGCCTGGAAAATCCCATGAACAGAGGAGCATGACAGGCTACAGTCCATGGAGTCGAAAAAAGTTGGACACGAACGACTTAGCGACTAAACAACAACAATACTCGAACACATGATGTTAACATTTGCAGCAAATACAGACCTTCACAGGCACACGGGGCCCTGGCCTGTGACTTGGCAGGCTCTCTGGACCCTCCCATACCTGCACCCTTGGGGGACCTGGCTGCTGAGAACTGGTCTTGGCGGGGCAGGAGGTGGGGGAGTTGGGACCACACGTGAGCTGATGCTCCAGGCCCCATCACATGCTCCATGGTCCAGCTGGACTTTCTTATAAAATGCAAATTCATTGATAAAATTACTAAGAATTTCAAGGTTACAACTACAGAGCATGAAACCCCAAGCATGGGGCACCCTTCAGAGCCTAGGTCCCTGGAAAGTCGTGTGGAGCCAACCCTGCTTCTAACTCTGCTGAGTGCTGTTTCCACGAGTCCACTGTTGCTGGCCCAGCCTTCCTCCTCCTCAGACCTCCTCTTTTTATTTATTTATTTATTTTGGCCATACCATGTGGCATGCAGGATCTTAGTTCACAGACCAGGGATCAAACCCAGCGCGGTAATGTCCTAGTGACTGGACCCACAGGGAATTCCCCCAGACCTTCCATCTTTATCCCAGCCACTCCTGGGTGCTGGGCAGAATCCCTAAGGGCTGACCTATTGCTGCCCCACTGCCTCTGCCCAAACCTGCCTAAGGGGTCGCTGTCTATACCTGTGCAGCCTCCTTGTGTGTGTGAGCTGGGAACCCGGGCCAAAGGTGAGCAGAATGTTTTCCCGCCCGGTGTACCTGCATCTCCCGCTCCCAGCGCTTGTCAAGAGGTCTCCCAACATGAGAAAGTATTTCTGTATGTTATCCATCACCCTACCCTTTCGCAGGAAAATGACTGTAACCTTTCTTCCCTGGCAGCAGCGGAACCCTCCTTCTGCTTTGGCTGGAAGCGATCTGAAGGTTTTGGTTGCCAGCCAGGGTCCGGGAACGTCTGCAGACCCAGTGGGCCTGGCTGCTCCTGTTCTTCTTGCTTTCTTTTTCCACCTGGAAAAGCTCTTGGACCGGGGATGGAGCCAGTTGGATAACAAGAGTGGGTGCGTGGAAGTCTCAGACAGAGGGTCTCCCACTGTCGGAAGAAAGCATGGATCAAAGACCCCAGGGGAAATAGAGTCACAGTTTGGGGTCTGGAATTCTCCAAGTTGGGTTCAAGTCTCGCTCAGCTTGGACATTTTCAAACTGTGTGACACTGAGTGCTTTCTTTATCTGCAGA